TAGTTGGAACGGATCGCCGGCCGCGCCAGATTACTTCGAGTTGGGCCCACCGTATACGAGAGATCACGGCAATACGTTGGAACTCACCACCACGCGCATATAAGCGTACACTGGCAGTGTTTTTTTTTTTAATTTGGTATCAAAGAGAGAAAGTTTCTGAACCAGCTTTGCCTTTTTCTTTTAGATTCACAAGCGCACGCTCCTAGATAGTGTGGCAAGAACGGCGCACTGAGCAGCGAAAATAAGTAAATAAAGTGACGAAATAAGAAATTGGTACCGACATCGCGGCAAACTCGTCTCGACCGAGCGACCCATCAAGCTTCTATCACCGCTGTTTCCGTTATGCGAAAAGTTTCGTTATACAGAGTTCGCATTAGTAATAATAATGGTCGCCGGTGCATGCGGCCCCTCGGTGCAACGCATTCCGTTACTCCTACGTAACAACGTGTTCGATACTACCCCCCCCCGATTGCCGGGACGAAAACGGAGTGCCACGCGCTTTCTACTCTGTATAACATTGCCGCCATTTGCTGCTGATGACGACGCCGCCTACAAAATGAGCGATACTCCCAAATCTCGAGCAGTTGGCAATCACGGCTCGCAAACGTACATACGACGCGGCTCGCAACGGACGCATGCGCAATACCACGCACGCGCTGCTAGACGACGAACGCGACCGATTGCGTGGCAAAACGTGCGTACGAAAACGGCGCGCATACAAAATTCCGGCGTGTACTTTTTCGCAGACTGAGCGAGCACGAATAACGCGATTTAAATGTAATCTCCGCGTTCAAAACGATACCCGGAATAATGGGAAGATAGAGAAAGAAAGATTAAAAGGAAGCGCCAAGAGAAATGGATAATGTGTACACGCGGGTTTAACAAGCGTGTTCAGCTGTATGAGCTCCGTTTCAAGCAGCGGCAGCCGATGCTGAAGCAACTCAGGCGCACGCGGTTTGCTTCTAAGCCTAATGAAGGGAACACATGCGAACTTTGCCTCCTCTCCACCGTTTTACACGATCCTCACCGCACTCTCCCCCTGCAATGTCCTTTTTCTTTCGCTTCAGTCTTCTCCCCGCAACATAAATGCAAGTTAAAATAAAAAGCCCGCTTTTCAGGAGCGGCGCCAAATCGTGCGTGTACGTGTATCACGTGAAACGATTTTTAAATCAGAGAGCGCGGCCTGTTTTTGTCGACTGACACACGCACATCACTTAATGAGCGACCTGTATATATTCGCGCAGGCATAGACGTTTCGTGACGATATCAGTGGTGAAAAGAACCCCCGCCTTTTTTTTAACCCCGATTGCAACGAGCATCGTGTGAATGCACGCAGAAGGAATTGTGGGTTTATAACATTGCGGGGTAGAAAACACGAGGTTTCGTGATTACCCTACAACAGTCAATACAATGCTCTTTGAATTCTGAAACAAGGTTCATTCCATGGCGTGCGCATGGAGGAATGTTTTGATGCCCATCTTGATTGCTACCCGCTTTAGGTTCATATGTTTGGGCCGCCCTGCCCACGAGTCAACCTCTCTCTTTCTCTCCCTTTTTGTCTAAACGGCATTCGCTCTAAAACGAAGAAGCAAATGTGTTTGCTATAAACGAATGTAGTTCGCGTCAGCCGTCTTTCTGCGAGACGAGATTGGCAGTGCATGAACTTCCGGCACGCTTGCAACACTCAGTTAATACTGCATGGGAGAGACGAAGATTGCGCAGAATCCATGCTGGTTTATCGCTCGAAGTTATGCGATGGTTTCGCCTGTGCGCCCATGACAATCGCGCTGTTGCGGAAGGCATTATTCTTGCAATGGCGATAAACACCGTAAAGCACCGATTGTCAACCTTTGGCGGCCTTTTCATTTTCTTGGCACCTATTTAGGTATTTGTCTGTAACACTGATTAAGCAGGTGGTTGAAAGAAGGTTCTCTTTAGCAAACTGTCGTTCCAAACCGTCGAAGTAACTATGTTGCCAACTTTAAACACCATGAACCTTCCTGCACATGAAAATGTCTTAAACGGACAAATTACGAAAGGCCAGTTCACATCACTGAGCTTTTTTTTTTTCAGCATGTAAGTGTGGCCCTCCTGACTGATATCGTCCCAGCAGCAACTTAATTACAGGCCTACGACCATGAACATATTTGGGGAGCTGCCATGCTGATTAAGAAAATAAATTTACCATTTAAGTGCCACGTCATGCTTTTCGTCACGCAGTTTGTACTAGCATGCTCGCTTACTTAGACTTAGTAGCATGATTGACAGCCCCATGCAGTGAAAAGAAATCCGCAGCCATCCACTAGACATAATTCTAGTAATAATTTCATGATCTTGAGAACACTAGCACAAAGAGAGCGAGAGATCTTTATTGAAAAGCAGAATTCAGCCTGTGTGTGTGCGTCACTGACTTGCTACTCTGTGTGAAGAAGGGGATTGGGGCCTGAAAGACAAGAAGAGAGAGAGAGAAAAAATATTAAAAATTACAATGGAAAAAAAAAAGTAAATATACAGACATTTTTCTGTCTCTTGGGCGGGGACGTGTGCTGACAGCATGACTTCAGTTTTCAAGGCGCCCCTACAGTTTGTCTAGCTGACTGATATTGTCTAAATACGCGAATAAAAGTTTCATCGCTTGCCTCTGTTGCGTGAAGCAGGGGATAGGGTGCAGGTCACAATCAACTGATAAAGTTCTTTGGTTTAACAGATGTATGCAGTGTTCCTAGAGCGCACGCTCATCGGCATACGCTCGGCACTCAAACAAGATATGTTTGCAGTTTCTATGGAGGAGGAGGAGGAGGAGGAGGAGGAGGAGGAGGAGGAGGAGGAGGAAGGGAAGAATGAAAGGCAGGGAGGCCAACCAGACGCACGTCCGGTTTGCTACCCTGCACTGGGGGAAGGGGTGAGGGAATTAAAGGAGAAGAGAGAGAGAAGTGAAGGGCAACGTGTGTGTAGGTGTGACCTTGTCCATTGCACGCTTATAAGCGGTCGCGTAGTCCGGTCGTCTTTAGAAAACTTAGCAGTGCTCGCGTCGCTTTGCTGGCCTGCGACGCGTACAGCCATGAACCAAGGATCTTCTCTTCGGAGAAAGGTCTCCTGTCTAGTGTCTCTAACGTTTCGCGTAGCACGTTGCGTTCGCTTGCAAAACGTTCACATGAACACAGCAGATGTTCTATTGTCTCGTCAGTGTCACACGATTCACATCGGGAGCTATCCGCTATTCCTATGCGAAAGGAGTAAGCCTTTGTAAAAGCTACTCCTAACCACAGGCGGCACAGTAAAGTTGCGCCATAGTTATTGCAGTATGGGCTGTCTACTTGACCGAAGCGATACTGTAAATTGTTTCCATAAGCACTGTTGAGCCAGAGACGGTGGTAGAGAGTTTACAGGTGTCGAGGGATTCGGGATGGGAGTCTAGTCCTTAGATGTGGCTCGATAGTGGAGGAAAGCATAATGACATGTCGGAAGGTTCCATAGCCTCTTATTTTCTTCGGAAGCAAGCATTTTAGCCAGACGAGCAGCAATGATTTAGTGAAATAGGTTCGCCTGTAATTTTACTTTTGAAGTCCTTTGCGGGCCGCTTCATCTGCTTTTTCATTGGCCAGTATACCGCAATGAGCCGGTATCCATTGAAATGTGATAGCGTGATCGGCGATAATAGCCAAGTGGCGTAAGTATGCTATATGAAATGAAATCTGGTCATAATTTGTTTTCCTTAAGAGGCTGAATAGTATTTGTAGAGACCCCTTAGAGTCGGTGAAGATCACTCATTGGTTTGACGTTTGACGCAGGATGTAGAGGACTGCTTCTTTAATACCATGAAGTTCTGCTATCGTTGATTATGTTCTGCCTTGTAGCGTAGCCGATAGGATAGACTTTGTCTGGTACAGGAAACATAGAGGCCATATGACGAGATCCCCTCAGTAGTTGAGGCGTCATTATATATATGAGAATGCTGAGTGTAATGATGGGCTAAGTAGAAGAGAGTAGTCTGCAGCAGGGCGTTCTGTGCAATACGTCTTTTCGCTTGATTGATTCCTGGGACACACTGTTTAATATCAAGAGGGGAAAGCGTCCATGGAGGAAATCTTGGAGGCATCAACTTCTTCGGCTGTCTGATATCAGTAAGTTGCTGCATTTGCACAGCTTGGCCGAATGCTGAATTGCTGTGGCGAGATGTATGCGGTACAGAAAATGTTTCTTCCCATGTATGACATGGTGGAAATGAGCGCGCAATATTTCTTGAGTGCAAATGACATCTAGCGGAAGACATCCTGCTTCCGCTACAGTTCCCGAGCCCGATGAGTTCTTCAGAAGGCCTAGACAGATTCGTAGGCAATTGTTTCGTGCGGCCGCTAAAGTTCTGTTGTTTGTTGGTGGTAATTGGTGAAGCACCAGTATGCAAAACGCAAGGTTCCCTCAACATACGCTTTCTCAAGCAGGACCATTGATCGGCACTTGCATCCCATCGTGTCCCCGCCATGAATTTGAAAAGTTGTGATGCTGCAGATATTCTCGCTCGAAGTTTCTTCACCTGAGACACTAGCACAAAATGTTTCAACATGGATACCCAAACAAGGTTGCGAAAAATTCCTAAGTGTGTTCGAGAAAAGCCCGTGGCCATTCTTCTCGTTTTGTTTTCTTTTATTATTGTTGATTTGTGTTATTTTCATTGTCTTTTTTACTCTGTCTGGATGATCTCGTGATTGATGAGGAGAGTGAAAGAGAGACCACAGCCGCCCCTTTCCAAGGCACAAACGGACGGCGGATGGACGCCATGAGGCGAGTATGAGACAGTAGAGGTTTTAACCTTGAAATAATTGTTTGCCCGTGTTCCGAAATTCGCTCTGGTGTTCTCGGGATCACAACCGACACCTCGGCGTTGGTACAAACTAGCCCGCCAGTGACGCCCACTACCTAATGGTTGCAATCATCAAGCAATAAATCAGACTCCTTCAGGACCACCACGTGGCAATCACTCTCCCTGTCTCTTCGTGCAGTCCAGCGACGGCGACGCAAGGACGGACGCCAGCGGCGCCAGCGCACCACTTTCACGAGCGAGCAGACGCTGCGACTGGAGCTGGAGTATCAGCGTAGCGAGTACATCAGCCGGCCGCGACGATTCGAGTTGGCCGAGGGACTGGAGCTGACCGAGACGCAGATCAAGATCTGGTTCCAGAACCGACGCGCCAAGGACAAGCGCATCGAGAAGGCGCAACTGGATCAGCAGTACAGGTGAGACCCGAAACCGCACATTGAGGGCTGTTCACGTGTGCACAAAAAATTGTCTCCTTGCAGAAAATAAAAAATATGCGTGAAATTTCTTTGGTGTATGTATGTATGTACGTACGTACGTACGTACGTATGTATGTATGTATGTAGTATGTATGTATGTATGAGTATGTATGTATGTATGTATGTATGTATGTATGTATGTATGTATGTATGTATGTAGTGTGTGTGTGTTGTATGTATGTATGTATGTATGTATGTATGTATGTAGTATGTATGTATGTAATTGACTTTACTTCTCTTTATAAACGAAAGGAAGCAGAAGCTAAAGGCCATGTGTCCTGACAAAGGCTTCTGCTCCTACGACAGTTCGGCACGCAGGCCGTATACATAGCCCAAGTGAATACAAAGTATACTGTACGGATATATTCCACTGAACAGTCACGAAATTTAAAAGAACATGTGTACAAAAAGTGGAAAAGCGAGAAGAAATACGTTATGTCTGCAAAGAACAACAACAAAAATGTTACATAATACACTGACAGGTCACCTTGCCCAAGTCAACAACTAAAATTTGCAATTAGGACACGGAAATTGAAAACATACAGCAACTTTGACAGAAAAAAAAATCATATTTTGTGAAATGAGCAATGTTTTAAATGGTTCACTCGACGCTTCCATAACTTCGTCGTGAAATTCATGTATTCTATTGAGTAGTGAAGGTGCTTGGTAACTTTGTAACTGTTTGCCATGTTGTGTTCTTATTTTGGTGTTTTCAGATAGTGTTGCCGAAAGCTGTAACGTGGGTTAGTGGTTGCATTCATGATAATGTGTCCTGTTTTGTTTGATCTGTTGCATTAACTTATAATGGTACACCTGATTTGCCTTTAACATAGAGTACTTGATAAAAAGGGCTGTGTTCTAAAATTCTTTAAAGGTCCACGATAACCCTCAAATGCCCGTAGGACTCTTTTTTGCAGCACAATCAGCTTCTTATCATTTTTTGTGTGGTCGCGCCCAAGAGTATATGCAGTAAGTTAGTCGGAAGTAAAATAGTGCGTAATACAACAAAATTATCAGCCAATAAGGAACCGCAGTACTCAATGTGTATAAGCATGCCGCCAACATTTTTACTTAATTCTGTTACAATTTTCTCGACATGTGTGTTCCAGGCCATATCTTCCTGAAACCGCACTCCTAGAAACTTTCGACATTCAACCTTCTCGATTACTCTGTCATCAAAAACAATAGTCGCGTTGCAGTTTCGCGGTTTATTAGTCGGGGCAAATATCATATTTTGTTTTTGGAAGTGTTAATACAGTATGTATGTATGTATGTATGTATGTATGTATGTATGTATGTATGTATGTATGTATGTAGGTATGTATGTATGTATGTATGCATGTATGTATGTATGTATGTATGTATGTATGTATGTATTGCTAGGGTTTTCTACTTGCTAAAGTCTCGATATGATTATAAAGCACGTCATAATGAAGGGGCCCGAAAATTTTGACCACCTAAAAGTTTCTTTATGGAGACCACCTAGGGCCGTAGCGATGTTTAACGAGACCCTACATATAGAAGATGGGCCTCCATTTCACCTTCGTCGAAATGCCGCTGCTTGGATCGAACCCGTGACTTGAGGGTCAGCAACCGATCACCGCAACCGCCGCGGAAGCTAATTCAGCACGAGGTTCGGAAAGACGTTAACTCATCAAGGTGTAGCGAGACTATACATGCGAATAAGAAAGAGGTCCAATTGTTTTAATCTGAGTCGCGTCCCCTGATGCCCTAATGCAGCCGTTCTATACCAACGCTATATCATTCTCCTACACTGCATTTGTGTCTATCCCGTCGTTATTCAATTGCTACAACGTAATCTCTACGCGGGTAGTGCTGAAACGTGTTTTGAGTAAAAAAGAAGCGTCATGAAGTGGTTCCCACAGTTTCAGAACGCGAAATGATCGCGTTCGCGAAACGTGGCAGCCGTGGCAGCCGTGGCCGACTCGGCCAGGCCGGCATCGTCTTCGCAGATCCTCGAACCGAATCCGCAATGGTCTCTCACGAGGACTTTGTCGTCCCAGGTTTAAGCAGCGCGGTGGCGGGAAAGCGTGGGTGGACACGCCCACCGCAGTAAAGCGACAACCAAGACTGAGCGTCTTCGACCAGAGGCGGCTGCCGATCGGACCTATGCATGTACACGATGACCAGCAAGTCGCCGCGGCCAGACCCGACTTTTTTTTGTCCCGCAACAAGGTGGATGATTCGCGAAATGAGGCGGATTTCGTCGCAGCCCGGGAGCGGGGCCGTGTTTGAACTGGGGTCGCTCAATAATGCAGCGCCGGCGCGGCCCCCTTTTTTTCTCCAGCCGCGAGCAGCACCTGCCCGCGAACAGCTTGTAATGGTTATGGCCATGAATATTTAGCGAGCTCGCCCTGCCCAATTTCCCCTCGTCGGAAGTCAGGCGACGAAACGAGCGACGAGGACGGATTGCATGCTTCGTGTTCTCCCTTCTTCCCCGTTTCCATCCCTCCCTATTCCCACCCGACGTGCACTTTGTGAACCGGCCCGGTGCACGCTCGAGCCCTGCTGTGTACGCATGCATCGAAGAACAGTGCGTGCGCGTTTTGCGGCAGGACACCGCCTCACGCACGCTCGCTCCGTTCGCAGGTCTATATACGTGGTTGCGTCGTTCGAAAGACAAGAACGCGTGTTCTTCGGAGAGTCAGCTGCGACTTTGAGAGAGGGCGAGAGATCAGGCCACATTTCTCGCGCTGTATGATTTCATGCAAACTCGAGTGAGCCCTCGCCCGCTTCGGTGACACTTAACGGACAGGTTAGTTCAATATGAGGTTCAACCTCATTGTTATTATCCCACCCGCTTACAGAACGTTGAGTTTAGTCATATTTGCTTTGACAGTATAATTAACTGCCGTGTGAACGCAGCACCGTCCGTACGAAACAAAAATGAAGTGTCACTCATGAACTTCTACACCAGTACTCCGTGCCGTAGCCATCTGTCTATGTAAGGGGACAGGTTAAACAAAAATATTCAACAAATCATTTTTCTTGCATTACTTGATATCTGCTGCCTTTCCTAAACCAGGAACAGTCTTTTTTTTTGTCTTAGTACGAATATTTTTTTCTAGAAATGGCATATTTCAAAATATGTGAAACAGCCTGTCATGCCCCCCATAAGTATGTATACCAAGAGATTATATGCAGATTATATGATTATATGCAGAAAAGATTGGTAATTGATATGTGGGATTTAACGTCCCAATACCACCATATTATTATGAGACGCTGTAGTGAAGGGCTCCGGAAATTTTGACCACCTGGGGTTCTTTAACGCTCACCCAAATCTGAGCACACGGGCCTACGGCATTTCCGCCTCCATCTAAAATACAGCCGCCGCAGCCGGCATTCGATCCCGTGACCTGGGAGTCAGCAGCTGAGTACCTTAGCCACTATACCACCACGGTGGGGCCATTCAGTAAATAATTCGCTCAGAACTGCGAAAACAAAGCAGAAGCATCAAGCTTTCTGTTGGTAAATATATATCTGGTCGGAGACGTCTTATTAGTGTGATCATTGTCCAACACCAAAACTGTTATTGTTGGGCCATAAAGAAATGCAGGCAAACTGGAGGACATGCGAAAAGCTGTGAGGTCC